TTTATTAGCTTGTATTTAAATTGGCTACTTTAAAACATCATGCACCCTCCAATAAATGCAACAGAAACATACAGAACATTTCTACTGTAATTAAACCCACGTGTGCTACAGTTCATCACCACCAAGGCAAGACTTCTAGGAAGAGATCTGTGCCCAACAAACCAGCATCACCAGACACAAGTCCATTTCATTTCTTTCAATATAAAGAAGAGGCAGAAAAGTCCTTCTAAATCTCAACAGCTTCAGTATTTGCAAAATGCATATAGAAAATAAACTGGTTGATAGGCAAGGGAAGAGATGGAGAGTATTGCTGCAAACAAGCTGATGGTGCAAGATTTTTGGCCCTTTATAGTCTAAAAGATAAAAACGTCTACTACTAAAAGGGATAGGAGACACAGTTTTGGCTCAGAATTTAGACTGAAAAAATGCTTTCTAAATCCTAGCCTAACGACATTAAGAAACTGGGAATATAAAATAATTTAACATCATTGCAAGCTTAAATACCAACAACATGGCATTGGGCACTGTAGTAAGACAAAAGAGTGGGTAACAAACTACACGGAACATCACTTCATTTCTCTAACTTGAATCAGAAGAAATCTACACAGCAAAAAGATACTTAATTCATAGTCTCTGTGGGTAGCGTAAGCAACTGTATCGCGCATTGATTCGATAGCGTCCCTTCCAAAAAGAGGTGTGGGCAGCTCCAAACAAGGGGCACTGCCCCGCTCTGGGACCGTGTACCTCAAATATTCCATTGATCGTGTCCAAATAAAGAGATGTTGAAAAGCTCTGCTTACTCCTAGAAAAAAGCTGGACACAAACATATTCCTGCAAAGACACCACTTGCAATTAAAGTGGGAGTTTTGCGTTTAAGCTCCTGATATTCAAAAATATCCTGACATCAAGTTATTCTACATCTTAAATGCCCAATACTGTATGAACAGCAATTCAAATGAACACAAAGTCATTTTAGTTTGAAAGAAACAAGGTACCAATTGAAGTAGTCTGTCTCTCAGGCTGTTTATTCAGTCTCCTCTCAAACATGACTAGTTAAGCTGACTTCAGAGAAGAAAAATAGAACATTCAGAAACTTCTCCCACCTAAAAATAAGTGTTAAAAGCAACACACAGACCAGACACACAGACCTATGAGCTGCACACAGATTACCAATAAATATACAGAAACACCACAATAAAGGACAAGGTTCATCATAAAAGAAAAAGTCTCATAACTGCTATTAAGACAATTACAAAAATGAAATTTAAGTGTGTTTTTTGCAGGCATGTGCAAGCACATTACAGTGTAATCAAAGCAGAACTTTGCTATTATTATTACTTTATGCAGCATTACAAGGTTACTGAGGTGCAGTGTTTAATAGTCTACTCTACAGCTTTTCCTGACCGGAGGAATGCTCACCAAACTCGCTGTGGACCCAACACCCTCTTCAGCCGTCAGAGCGGGGCAGCACCCCCTCCCACAAGCCATTCCCACCCTGAGGTGGGAATTAGAAGCCCCACCGACACGTGCACATCGCTCCTTTGAACACGCAGCCACGTGAGCTCTGCTCGCAGCGACTGACCCTCTTGCAAGTCATCAGGTGGCTTTTGTCTACATCTTTGGGAGCTTGCTACATCTAAGAGACGGCACCCTTCAACAGCTATGGATTCCCTTTCAGCACTAATTACATCGCCCCAGAAGCCCCGTGCTGTTGCTTCTCCTACACCCCCCCACCCACACACCCCTCAATGCGAAGAGGTAAATTGCATTGACTAAATCAAACCTGGTTCCAGCCTACCAGCTGAATTTGGTGATCGCTCCTCAATGCCTCTCCCTCCACATGAAAACACCTTCCTGGTTATTCTTGGTCCTGACTCAAAGCTGATGCTTGAAAGTACCTGAAAGATACCATCAAACACTTGGCATTTTCAATAATTTATCTTAAATTTTCAGCCACGTACAACTGGAAAATAAAAATCTACAGCACCATCTTCTAAAAAGGCACTTTCTGAGGACTGTCTTGCTTAAAAAAAATAAAAATCACTCCAAGTGGAACTGATTTGTTTTGAAAGGACCCTATGTTAACTACCCGTGTCAGGTGAGGGGTTACCTCAGACAGGATCTGAAAAGGCCAGGGCACACAGCATGGAAAGGGGACGGAGTCTCTCCATCGACACCCTTGTTTCTGTAACACTGATGCTTCGGTATTTTCCCTTGCAAGCCTCTCCCTTGCAATTCCCTCCCCTCCATATGCACCTTTGCCTACTCAGGGACAATTTGGTTTTGTTTTAGTGTTATAGAGATCAGGATTCTTGAGACTCTGCTAGGGAGGTAAAAAGTCAGATCCTGTACCCATCTCATTCATAGCTCAACTAATGACAGTACAAAGTCTTCTACTAGCAGAAAGCACCAACTAGCTCAAGCTCTAACCACTACTTTTTCAGATTTACAAAAAACAGTAAGTGAATTGGCTAAGTGAAGTTTTATTGAAACAGGTGCCAAAACAAAAATGATATCCTAATAGCCCACATCGATCTAAAGTACCATCTTTGGGTAGAAAAGAAAGACGGGAATCTTTCCCTTTGACATCCACAGCACTGAAAGGGACAGAGCATCTGCCTGGCGTGACCACAGACTATGATGGCCATTTAGAAATAACGATCTCTGAAAATGGAATTTATAGTTTCAATGTACATAATCTGAGCTTTTGATTCCTTGGTTATAAAAGTGCTTTGAGTAAAGGTTCTAAACCCTCAGTTCACAAAACTGGGAAAATATTAAAAGAGGACAAGATATGAAGAAAGTATAAAAAAAAAAGGCCTCAAGCTTTTTTAAGTGTAGGCTGAGCTTGGAATTTCACCAGAGTGGACTTCAAGACTAGTAGAAAACCAGTATTTGTAGCTGGGATTTGTACAGAAGATTACTATCTGGTATCTTCTGTTGAGCATTTTACAGGACAAAAATGAAGAAGTGAAAATACTTTAGGACCGATAGCATCTTGAAATAATTCAACTGACAACTTCCAGAAACCCACTTTACTCCTGAAAACCATTTCTATGGCCAAACAAACTTCCAAAAGAATGCCAGAATGAACCCTATAAAAATAACTTTTGGACGCGTTTAGCCAGATGACACATTTAACAATAATACAGCGATCCTGAGTAAAATGGCCACAGCTGAAGTGCCCTACAAAGGAAAAAAAGCTACTTACAGTGGAGTCAGTCATTCTCTTAGCAGATGTTGCATGTTTAACGCCTCAACTACAAAACCACTCTACTCCTCTCCAAATCTGGATCGACCAGTGGCTAGATCGTGGGTTTCGGCAAGGCTCGCAGCTGGGTTACGAGAAGCACTGCTGCCAGCCCCAGGAG